ATTGCCGGAAGAAATATCAACAACCTCAGATATGCAGATGATACCACTCTGATGGCAGAAAGTGAGGAGGAATTAAAAAAAAACACTTAATGAGGGGGAAAGAGGAGAGCACCAAAACTGGTTTGAAGCTCAACATTAAAAAACTAAGATTATGGCCACCGGTCCCATTACCTCCTGGCAAATAGAAGGGGAAGATATGGAGGCAGATTTTACTTTCTTGGGCACCATGATCACTGCAGATGGAGACAGCAGCCACAAAATTAAAAGACGCCTACTTCTTGGGAGGAAAGCAATGACAAAACTAGACATCATCTTAAAAAGCAGAGACATCACCTTTCTGACAAAGGTCCGCATAGTCAAAGCTATGGTTTTTCCACTAGCAATGTATGGAAGCGAGAGCTGGACCATAAAGAAGGCTGACCACCGAAGAATTTATGCTTTTTAATTGTGGTGCTGGAGGAGACTCTTGAGAGTCCGCTGGACTGCAAGGAGAACAAACCTATCCATTTTGAAGGAAATCAACCCTGAGTCCTCACTGGAGGAACAGATCCTGAAGCTGAGGCTCCAAGACTTTGGCCATCTGATGAGAAGAGAAGACTCCCTGGAAAAGACCCTGATGTTGGGAAAGTGTGAAGGCAAGAGGAGAAGGGGACGATGGAGGACGAGATGGTTGGACAGTGTCATTGAAGCTACCAACATGACTTTGACCCAACTCTGGGAGGCAGTGGAAGACAGGATGGCCTGGAGTGCTCTGGTCCATGGGATCATGAAGAGTCAGACATGACTTAACAACTAAACAACAACAACAAAATAAGCACCTATTCCTTTTTGATGTTATTCTCCAAACAGGTTGCAAGACGGGTCAGACAGGCAATTAATTCCTTCCAGCTGAAGTGGGGAGGGGGGGGAGAAAAGCAATCAACCAAGCCAAAGAAAACAAAGAAAAAACAATCAAGGATGCAAGACATAATTCAAAGAAAACAAACCAAAAACATATCAACCATGCAAGACCCATTGCAAATGCAAATAAAATAAACAAAAAGCAATCAAGCAGATTGTGCAAGATCGGGAATGGGGGGAAAATCCAAAAAGCAACCAAACTCCCTAAGACCCATCGGTAATGGGGGAGAAAAATCCAAAAAGGAACCAAACCCCCAAGACCCATTGGAAATGGGGGAGAAAAATCCAAAAAACCAAGGAAAACCCCCAAGACCCATCTCAGCACAGGAACATAACCCTCCCTTACCCAAAACCACACTGCAAAAATCCCAGAACAGTTTTTAAAAAGCAGAAAACAGTACCTTACCTTAAAAGGCAGTTCCAAGCCTCCCTACAAACCCACACACGCTCAGATCGCACACTCACTAACTGCCAGGATGAAAGAGCTACAAAGAGCAGCCTCTTTTGCCACCTACAGTTAGTAATTTGAATTTCCTGCCTCATTACCCTGCCCTTTTCTGTTTGTAAGTGGAAACTCCGGTCGCAAGTAGAAGCAAAATTTTGCAGCCAGAGCTGGTCATAACTCGAAATGGTCATAAGTAGGGATGCTTGTAAGTTGAGGCACCACTGTATGGATTTATTTCCCATGACATCCAGGCTAGTATCTGAGACAAATTTTAAAAATGGCTCTACAACCACAATACTTCATTCAATGCTTCCAACAAATCCTCCAGTTTATAAATATATGGTGTGTTTTGTGTTTGGGTAAGAAGTGGCTAATTGATGAAAACAGGAGTCAGCTCCTGGATTTTCGTTTGCTTTGTGTCACTTCTGAAAAGCTAACATAATATTAATATATTATTTCTTAGGGTCATAGAACAATTGACTTAGAAGGGGGCTATAAGGCCATCAGTTCCAATCAACTGCTCAGTGCAGGAATCCTCATCAAAGCAGATCTGGCAGATAGTTGTCCATTTTTCTCTTGAATGCCTGTAGCATTGGTGCTCTCACCACTTCCCAAGGTAATGCCGTACTGCTCCAGGGTGTGCTGTTTTTCCTGATATTCAGCCTAAATCTGGCTTCCTGTAGCTTGAGCCCCTTTCCACAAGCAGGTAAAGGCTGTGAAAAGAGTCCTTCAAGTATGCTGTGAACCTGTGATTCAATAATGAAATGTTTCTTAAGAAACAATGGCCAGTTTAATTGGAGTATGGACTGCAATTATTTTTGATAGAAATAGTAAAAAGCCAAAGGAAAAAAAGCGGTGAAAATTAAAACTAATTTTTCCTGTATCAGAGATCTATCAGAAATGGCAAAAGCTTGTATCAGATGAAATAAATTTTAACAGGAAAAAACGAATGCCAACGTCTGACATAAGATGAAAGCAAGCATATACATAAAAGGTAAGCATTTTAAGTCAGTAAAATAAAAAGGATAGTCTGTGTGGTGTTGTTACTAGAGTGAAGGAGCTGGACTAATGAAGTCCACATCTGAATCACTGCTCAATCTTAGAAGCTCATGGGGGGGGTGTAGAAACCATAAAGCCACTCCTTCAAAATCTCACTTATCTTGAAAATCCTAATAGAGACTTCTTTGAGTCCGCAGTCAGGAGCATACAGGCAGACCAAGAAGCACTCCAAAATGGAGGGTATCGGGAAGAACTCAGAACACAGTGACCCCTCCAACAAAGTATTGAAGCAAAGCAGTCCTCTTCTTCCGGGCCATTTTATAAAATTAACACACATGCTTTCTCCTGCACCACACATGATGTTTGGGTCCTGATAGCAAACAGCACTCCTCACTGGGTTCCTGACACCCCACTACAAGTCCTCCTCTCCTGGACATTCCGATCAGCAGCTGACAGCCCTCGTATTAGGTTAAAAAATTATTGGGCCAGGTTTATGGACAAAGCGTGAAACAAAGATTAAACAGAAGAGGAAACAAGAAGGGAACACAAACATTTGTATATCTCTTTTTCTGAAAAAAAATGGATCGTACATGTTTTAGATGCTTGCTTTCATGAATTGCTAAAAGGACCCAAAATATGCAGACTCGTTTTATAGGGCTTTTATTGAAAACATCCGTAGCCCATGGCGATCTATTTTTGGATATAGAACAAAAAGATGCTCAAGCTGGAGGGTTCTATTCATTGTAGAGACATTGGTTTACTTGGCTACTAACAGGAAAGGATTCTCCTAACCTACAGTTATTTTTTTCTATAGGTATTGCAGGACTGTGATCGTGAATAACAAGACTTTAACAGCATGTGCTGGTGTTCGTTATGATAATGTTGCGTAAGTAAATTGCAGAACGATTCTATAAACAAATCAATATTAACAATGTATTCAACATTCAAGCTTCTTTCTGCAATCGATTGTGGATTCTAATTTTTTTCATTGATTTCTATATTACAATGACCTGCTAATGTGTCACCCAAAGCAATTGAACCATTTCAATACAGTGGTGCCCCGCTTGACTGTTACCCCGATAGACAGTGGTGCCCCGCTTGACTATTACCCCGATAGAAGACAAAATAGCTTCACGATGAGGTTTTTCGCTATTGCAATCGCAAAACGATGTTTCAATGGGGAAAATCCGCTTCATGACGATCGGTTCCCTGCTTCGGGAACCAATTTTTCACTTCCCGACAATCAAAACCAGCTGATTGTTGATTTTTCAAAATGGCCGCCCACTGCTTTCCAGACCTATTTCCGGAAGAGAGCGATCGAAAATGGCTTCCCTATGGAGGATATTCACTGGATTATGAGGTATTTCACCCATTGAAACACATTGAACTGGTTTTCAATGCATCTCAATGGGTTTTTTTCTTTCGCTTGATGGCGATACCGCATAACAGTGATTTTAACGGAATGTATTATTGTCGTCAAGCGGGGCACCACTGTACATGGGCAATCAAAATGGTAGCCATAGCTGTTCAAGCAGTTTATAATACATACTGATTTGATGTCTTTCTTCTAACAGGGTTATGATAGAAAGCATTGTGAGTCAAGAACCTTTGGGAAGGATTTACACTCTTCCTGGATATTCAGGAGACAGCCTGACAACTTACCCACATGCAAATAAGAGTATTTTACTTCAACAGCCAAGTAATGGGACAAATGATCAATTTCTTGGTGATTTAACACAAAACATCATCAACAGCTTCATTCTCATTGTTTGTCTTTCGGGTCTTGTGGGAAATGGAGTGGTCATCTGGCTTCTCGGCTTCCAAATTAAGAGGAACCCTTTCACCACCTATATCCTCAACCTCTCCGTAGCTGACTTTGGGGTCCTCATCAGTCTAATCAGTGCAGCTGCATGTGTGACTGTAAACTCCCCGAGAATTAACATTTTCTCTCGTCTTTTTTTTACCATATTTCTGGAACTTTTTTTCTGCACCTACTCTACTAGCCAGTTCCTATTGGTAGCCATTAGCCTTGACAGGTGTGTGGCTGCTCTTTTCCCCCTTTGGCATCGATGCCACCGGCCCCCACATTTGTCCATCATTATTTGTACCCTAGTATGGATCCTCTGCTTTCTGCTTGCTGGAATTCACTTCACTCTCCTCATGACAGGTATCTCTGAAGGTTCCCCGCTCTTCTTTCAGCTCATTGTGAATGTTCTGCTTGGCGCTCCCCTCATGCTCATCTCCACTCTCATCCTGTTCATTCAGGCGTACTGCAAAGCAAAACAATCTCAGCGAGGAAAGTTCGTCACAGCCATCTTACTCGCTCTCCTTTTCTTTCTTATCTTTGCTTTTCCTCTAAATCTATTGTACATCATTTATTCATATTATGTGTCCTTTCCCAACCTGATATTTGTTGGTTTCGTGTGTGCTTCTTTGAACAGTAGTATCAACCCACTAATTTATTTCTTGGTGGGAAAAAGACAGAGGCAGAGTCACACGAAGGTGTCCATCAAGGTGGCACTCCAAAGGGTTTTTGAGGATGAGCAAGACAGCAAAGGAGTGGAGAACACGCCACGTGAAACCCTGGAGTGATCAGATCAAGTTTAATATGGTCATAGACCAATATGCAAGTAAGTGTACAAAAACAGCAAAACACATATATAAAACATACGCTAAGTTAAAAGCATCCTAACAAAGTAATACCTGGAGTGACAATATATAAGAATATGTATAAGAGTATATATAAGAGTTTTGACCCAACTCCGGGAGGCTTTGACCCAACTCCGGGAGCAGTGGAAGACAGGAGGGCCTGGCGTGCTATGGTCCATGAGGTGACGAAAAGGCGGACACGACTAAACGACTAAACAACAACAACAAATATATAAGAGTAGACCTTGGTCTAGATGGGCGGGATAGAAATCCAATACATAAATAAATGAATGAAATTAGAATGAAGTTAATTTCCATTTTTTAAAAAAAGTCCAAAACCTAAATATATTATAAAATAATGCAAAATGAATGCACTGTTTTCCAGATTCATAAGACTTTCATTGCTTAGGGCTAACTTTGGATGGAGCAGAAATAGATTCCACCTACGGCTGTCTGCTGTCTCTCTGTGACCTATCTCTCTAAGAGCAGAAATGACCATTGGGTCCTGCTTCTCTAAATGCTTCTCTAAGCTCAGTGTACTTTGACAATACTAATATCGCATTCTCAGTATATTTTGTTCTTATTTCACTTCTCTTATGTTTTGCTTGAATCTTCATGTTATGATGAATTATATGTAATAATGATATAACATAATTCATGTTCTATTTGCATGCGCTGTGTGAATCATTTTGAGCACTGTATTGTGGAAAATGTAACATGTAACTAAAGTTAGTAACAATAATAATAATGTACAAACATTAACGGGCTTTAATGTTTTTACTTATCTTTTCCTTCTTATTACTGTTCTTTCACTTCTTTTTTCTGTCTGTAATCTTTTTTAAACATTAATCCTTGTTTATTGAGCTGGAGAATTGTGGTTCCACATGCATCCTTTCTTTTTTATTTAGTTATTTATTTAAAATATTTTTACACGCACCTTTCTCTTTTAAAAGGACGCTCTTCATCATAGGCATCCTTCAGTCTCGAGAGACTATGGTAACATGCTCTGAATCGAGGAGTGCCCTCTCCAGAGCATGAAGCCCGGGTAAGGTAATATGGAGGATCCCCCCTCTCCGCATTGCTGAAATGGTCCAATGGAAAGGCAATTATTTAGTTATTTATTTAAAATATTTTTACACGGACGTTTCTCTTTAAAATGACCCTGGATCCATCATTAAAAGATAGTATGTAAAACCAATAAAAATGAGCATACTAATGCTAAAAAGGATGAAACAAATAGAATATTAGAAAAAAGTTAACAGGGCCCTCAGCCCAGCTTCCTAGGGAAAAGGACCCTAGCTCCATCATTAAAAGATAGTATGTAAAACTAATAACAATGAGCATACTAATACTAAAAAGGATGAAACAAAGAGAATATTAGAAAAAAAGTTAACAGAAGCGACACCAAAATCATTCAAAGCAGTGAGATACAACAATTTGTTTGAAAACTCCATTCAGGCAGTCAGTCACTGACAGAAAGCTTGCCTGAAGAGAATGGTCTTTGCCTGCTTGAAAGGACAGCAAAATGGCGCCTTTGACAACCTGGAAGGACTTCAAAATGGCGCCTTTGACAACCTGGAAGGACACAAAATGGCGCCTTTGACAACCGGGAAGGACACAAAATGGCGCCTTTGACCACCTGGAAGAACAGCAAAAGTGGTGCCTTTGACACCTTGCTGGGATATTGTTTTAGTTCCTGGTGAGCTCAGCCATGTCATAGCTGGACTGGTATGACTGGGAGCTGAGGCTTCAGACAGGTTCTACAGCCAACACACCGCTTTTCAGTCGTGGAACTCACACACACTGAGGAAGCAAAGGGGTAGTGTGGCTGAAGGGCTACATTCTAATATTCACACTTGTGTCTCTTTGCTCCCACAGGGAGATTACAACAATTATGTGCATGATCAGTCCAGCTGAATTATGCAGCAAAGGAAAGCAACTGCTTGAAATGGGGGAATATAGAGGGATGGACATTGGTGCCAACTGATGTCCAAATGACACAGCCAGTTTTTTCCCCAGAAATCTCAAGTCCTTTTGTTCGTCTACAACCAGCAGAATATGTTGGGACAGAATAAGGGGTTACCCCGCCCACTGGCAGCTACCGCTTCGTGCCATGAGTGCACATACGTAATGTACAAACAAATTGCACATCACTGGAACAGAATGCAGCTACGACATTTAAGAAGAAGTTTCCCACATTTACTGTATTTGTGTCCACTTCTGATGGTGGAGATCGTTTTTGATCTGGAATAGGTATATCATGTTGTGGAACTTGTGTTAAGAAATCAGACACTTTGGCAGTCTTGGTTTCTTAATCCAAAGTCTTTTCTTGTTTCTTTTTTGATAGTTTTCGCTTTTGTGCACCACTTAACGGAACACATTTCATCTTGGTTCTTGGGGTCTGTCACATAAATTGATAGACATAATGAAATACACATTCAGTTATCACCACCAGTCCACCACCATGCAATAAATAAAAAATAGAAAATGCATACATAGAAAAAAGCAACACCATTTTCATGAGTTTCATAACATTTCATAAGCACTTCCAAAAAATTATGAAACATTGATTACATTGTATTCTCGGAAGCTTTCACGGCCGGGTTCTGATGGTTGTTGTGGGTTTTTCGGGCTCTTTCGCCGTGTTCTGAAGGTTGTTCTTCCTGACGTTTCACCAGTCTCTGTGGCCGGCATCTTCAGAGGACTGGAGTAGGAACTCTGTCCATGCTCTGTTGCTGTTTGTTGGATAGTTGAGTATTTATAGCTGTGGGAACAGCTTTTGTCCTTTTCAGAAAATAGGGTGATCAGCATGTTTTTGTTGTGGATGTATTGTTGTGATAAGGAGAACAACCTTCAGAACACCCCCCACAACCATTAATTACATTATTTGTTGTCAGTGTTATTTTTTAAAAAAGGAATCAACTTACTTACCAAGTGTCAGAGTCTGGAAGCTACTAGGTCAGTGGTCCCCAACCTTGGGCCTCCAGATGTTCTTGGACTTCAACTCCCAGAAATCCTGGCCAGCAGAGGTGATGGTTGGTGACCTACGTGGACTGTGGGGCAGTGAAACTTACCAGATTCTAATTTTGTTGTACTCCCAAGATTAATGTATATCAGTAACCTCTATTATTATTATTATTATTATTATTA